AGCCACGTACTTCTGTGTAGATAAAGGTGTGACTTCAGTTGTTATCAAGGTATCAATTTCATTCCGGTTGTTTATATTTTTCAGTTCTACTAGTCTAACAGTTAAAGGAATGTGATGATTGGGGAATTAGTAGAAATTAAGCAATCATGGAAGTGGTAGACACAGGGACTATGGTTTATAAATTAAGTTTTCCAAAATAATAATCAAATTTGTTGCTAGTAACTAGTGCTAGCCTTGCTAACTCAAGAATATTTTGTTAAAATCGAATTAATCTTATAGTTTTTCCTTGAGTTCTGCACTCTCTCCATTCAATTCATCATGCAAACATTTTGGATAACTTCTAAAATCATGAAGATTGTGCCCTTTTTTTGGAAAAATGATCATTAAGAAAGCATTTTATGATCCAATTCACCAGCTGTAAACAAGAACCGACACGGTTGTGCATGGACGCTGTTATGCTAGGTTTAGGAGAAAGAATCAGCTCTGTTCCTGATTTTATTTTGGGGAGGTTTTTTGTTTCCAATTTAAGCACACACTAATTCCAAGTTCTGCTAGAATGCGGTTTTGAAGTAGATTTTATCATAAAGAGGGTCTCAACTGTTTTGCCAAATACCATCCTTTTGCAGTGGGATTTTGCAAACTATTAACTGTAAAAGGCTTTGAAATGGCTCCCCCATAATCTGGAGTTAGAAGTTGTCCAAAAACGTTAACTATTGAAAGAAATAGAAATGCAGCCTTGGCAACCTGTTCTGAGCCGCTGCTTCCACACGACACATGCTTTACCAAACAATATAAACTGATGAAACCAAAAGTGATTTCGAAACGTTAAGGGCCAATATTAAGTCTGTTTGCAATTCCCTATCAATGATCGACTGATTGTCTAGTTGGAAGGGTGGGTGGTTAGAGCTTCTCTTACCTAATATACAATAAACATTTTACAATTTTGAGGGATGGAAATTGCTGTAATCTTGACCATAGTTGGCCTAACTAACAGTGTGTTGGCAAAGTTTAAATTATAATTTAAGTGGGTGAAACCTATTCTTTATCCACACATTTCGTACAACCCACAACTTACTATCCACATATTCTATAGGATCCACAACTTATAAGTACTTAAAAGCACTACCAAACAAGCACTAAATGACTGTTACTGCCTCTAAGATTATTTAATCAGCTTTCCAATAACATTTGTAAGGAAGCCTAATATATAGCTGATAGCTCCTCATGCTGCTTGCATCTGCATCTTTGCTGTGTGGTGACGAACTCCATACATTATAAATTTTTTCTCATATTTGATCCAATGTCCGGTAAATCTGCTCGTGCTAGTATTAGTTGTTTTCTTTGAATCAAATCATTGGTTATTAAGACAATCTCTGGGAATATGTACAGGGATTGGCAGAACACAAGGATACATTGGGTGCACCACTCTGCCCATGCAGGTAATATTAATTCCTGGAATTTATTTATGAATCAAATCTATTTTTGGTTTATTTTTTCTATATTACAAAATGTCTACCATAGTTTTTGTAACATTAGATGGTCTTTTATTTTGTATAGGCACTACGATGATAAAGTTGCTGAGGCACAGCAGGGCTTCTGGAATTGCCCTTGTGTTCCTATGAGAGAAAGGTAATGCTAAAGGTTGATATGATGCTGTTTGTTATTTTTCTTTCCCTGCAGTTATCATTTTCTTCTTTGACCATATGGGTTCAGTAGCCTGCTTTTCATTTTTCTACTTCGGCATTTTTGTCGTTACAGCAAAGAATGAAATATTAGGATTTTCGTGATTTAATAAGGTTTCATATAGTTGATAATAATTGAATTTTCGAGTGTAATTAGCATTCAAGACCTTGGAATCCTGGATAGTTTTGATCTTTTAAATAGGGCACCTAGTAACTCTTTCTGCTTTGCATAGAATCTGCACAAGTTCCTTTGGTCTGTGAGAAGAGAGAATTTGGCATCTCAATGACTTTCTTAAAGAGTAACCTCATGTAAATACTAGGATTGAGGTTTGTCTTGGTCTTATTTCATTCCAAAGATGGAAGTGAACAAGGTCACTAACGGAATCCTATTAAACGAAGAAAGCCACCAGAGAAGAAACTTGAAAACTTCAACTCAGTTGATGAGATGCTGAGAAAGTGATCTTTATAAGCCTGTTGATATTTCCAAGAGTAATAAAGAATGAGCTGATATTGGATGTTTCGCGTATAATCTTACATAATCTCGAAGGTTTACAATCAACTCCGGTCTAAATATCTGAAAGTTTAACCTAATCGAGATTATTAATCAATTTAGATAATGTTTAGAACCTAGAACATGCACATCGGAATTAAAAGGTGTAAGTTGAAGTAACAAGTTACTTTTTAATTATCTCTAGATAGTTAATCAATCACGTTAATTTATTCTATATTGAATTACCACAATTTTTAATGCGAAAACAGTAAAGAACACCAAATTGATCGTGGAGAAAACCCTTCGCAAATGTTCAAAAACTCCGGATACTTTGTCAGTCAATAATCCACTATAAACGAAACAACTTACAGTATGGTCCAGACCCGACTAACCCTTAGTCTCTTCTGACCTTATTTTCTTGTAGTCACCCTAGATCCTAGTGGACTGCGTGCTCCTCACACTAAATCCCGACTCTTGGTATATCACCTTAACTCTCTTGGACTGTGTGCTCCTCACACCAGCTTCCGACCTCTAGTATACTACCTTAGCATTCTTGGACTGCGTGTTTTTTTGCACCAACTCCCGATCCCTGGTATCGTTTATCTCTGGTGGATTAGGTGGTGTAATATTTAATCAGAAGGTCTTGTGTGTTTTGATATGTTATTTAATGTGGAATAATATGGTTTGATCAACAAAATATGTTTTAGAAGAATTTATGGATCAGTGATATATGGTGGTTGAATCTTGGAATTACTGAATGTTTTGCATCGTCAAAGAATTGATTTTTATGGAATAAACCTGATTCAATACGCTATGTGATGTCCATGGGGTTAAGTATTTATAGAAAAAGTCTTTGGGATGAAAATGGATTGAAAAATCAAGTGTTTGAAACAAAACAGAATTTTCGCGTCGACTTGTTGCTCGAGCGCTAGACGAGCCCGTTGATCGAGCGCCAGTCTAGCGCTAGGCGGGCAACAAGGGTTCTGCTTCTGCTGCTCGAGCGCCAATTGGGTAGCAGGCCAGCGAAAATGCGTCCTTCTCGATTTCAACTGCTTCCAGTCCGAAAACTTCTTCTTGAATCTTGAACTTCTTTTTGGACTCTATCAACCCAGACTAATTTTAGCATAACTTGGACTTTTCTAAACCTATTTGGACTTTGATTACAATATAATTAAATCATAATACATGATTTTTATCTTAGGAAATTGCCAATTACAAATTAGACTATACAATATCTATAGAATAATTAGTTGCTAGGATTTTGATCCATTTAGGTATAGAATTTGACTTTATTTATGGGTCATTATATATAACGAAAATGATTCATGTAGTTTATAACAATTTAGGTACTTGACCCCAGAGTAATTACTGATAATAATTACTCTGTTCTTGTTGGCTTGAATGATGTACAATTACAACTCTGTATGGTCAACAGTGCTAGTTATTTCTTAAATCAAAATTTGGTATGCTATGTACTTTTTCTATCATTTTTGAGGCACAATAAGTATTATGGAAGTCTTACGAATGTGATGTCTAGTATTTTTCGTGGATTTCAGTTGGGGTGTTGAACTCCACTCTGGGCCCATAAATTTCCAGCTCTCATCCGTTCCAGTTGTCAAGTGTGTTTCATTTTATCTTTGCTTGTATGTCTTCTATTGGCCTATCCTTATTGTCTGGGGTCACATAAATTTCTTTATTCTATTTTTGCCGTTATCAATTTTAATTAAATAGTTGCTAACCACTTCCGGTTGAAATCATCCTGATTTAGTTTTTCATACATCCGTTTTTACCATCTCGTTTTGGCTGTCACGTTTAAGTTTTTACTATGCATTCAGTTTCTATAGTCCATCTATGTTCCATATCCTGATTGTATTATGTCCTGGCAGGAAGGAATGCCACTGCATGCTTTTTCTAACCCCTGATAATGATTTTGCTGGCCAAGAACAGGTAATAACTCGTCACTTTCTCATTTCACTTGAAAATTCTGAGCTTTAATTTATTCCACGAATAAACACTGTAAAACGAGAAGGCCTATTACTCGAAGTTTATAAACATAATCTGTCGCTGTCGACACTATAAATAATTCTCAGAATTTTTCTCACAATTCCTTCTACTATGCAGGCCATTACGTTGGAAGAGATAAAAGAGACAACAGCAAATATGTGATGCTTAATATCTTGTATCGACTTGTTTGAATAATGACCTGTGTAATGTAGATTTTTGTGGTTGTATTATCGTACTGTCAACTTTATGTATTATCGACACCCCCTTCCCCCCCTCTCTCATCATCTATCGAGCTATTAAATAGTCCTTTTGGTTTTGGGTGAATATAAAGAAGTGTTGTTGGCATTGTGAATTCTGCTGAAATTTTTTTGATCCATAATGATGAGATGTCAAAATATAAGTGGTGAAGTTATTTGATTGATGAGATTTGGACCAATTAAATCTGGTCACATCATATGTTTGTAAATCATTATGTAAATGATTATATACATGTAGTACAATCCAATAAACTATACTTCCGAAGATAAAGTGTCCCAACGTCTTGATTGTTACCAGCAACGTCTATGGGAAAAACTATGACAATAATATTTGCATAGAAATAAGAGAAATGTCTTAGAAGTTGAAACAAGAGTCCATATTTCCCTTTATTTAGTGGTCAAAAATATGCATTTAGCTCATGCGAGTAACATTTGTTCATTGAAATAAGCAGGAATGCATATATGATAGGTTTGATACGGAGTAAGAGACAACGCGGAATAACATTGAGGAAGAAAAAAATTCAGCTCTACTTAATGTTGTTGTACGGACATGTCACCAATCCTCGTTCAAGGACATTTCGACTTTCCACCATGAGTAGTCATATCCGTGTAGCATTTGCCACATTTTTCTTTGTTTCCATATTGCCCAGGAGGAACGCATTTGCATCGGTCACAACAAGTCATGCACGCTCTCATGCATAATCTCTTCCGAGAATGCAACTTGCACCTTTCGACACATAGGGGGCTGCACTCTGCAAAGACAATAAGCAAGAACATCATATAGTTTTCGTCGAATATTTGAATCTTGAAGCACTAAAAGTATCTAGTAAGAAGTTACCTAGTTTAGGTTTTGGTGTGGGTATGGTAGGTGGAGGCGGCGGTAGAACCTCAACTGGTGGAGGTGGGGTTGTGGCCTTAATTGGTGGAGGCGGCGGTAGCACCTTGACTGGTGGAGGAGGTGGTGATACCATGATTGGTGAAGGAGGTGGTGTCTTGTAACTTAGACTTGCTGCATCCTATATATATCACAAGAATTTCATGAGCTTTAGACTTATAATGTTGAGTTCATAGGTATATTAGATATCCCATGTTTCATCTTCTTGCCTTAATTTTCCTAGGATATATAAAAGATCTATTTGGCCATTTCGTCTGACACACAGCAATAGAGATACGTGAAAATAAAGAACCGCTGTTAACTTTTCTCCATCATAGTGAAAATTTATTGCAACAAATGGACGCAGTGAATCAGTATAAATCCGTGTGTTTGATTTGCGAGTTTTCTTCAAAAACTTTTGTCGTGTAATTAGGACGATGTAGAGATTAGTTTGTGCAATTTGATTTGCAGGCAGTTTTAAGAAAAACATGGATCAAAAGGACTTAAATGTAGTCCTAATATTACCTCATGGAGTACTCCCTCATTCCATTGAGACGAAACCTACAAAATCAAGAAAGAGTTGTTGTCCAAGTGATAAATCATGTCACGTCACTAAATTCGAGCGAAATAAAGATCTTTTCATCGAGTATCCTTCATTAAAGAAAAAACGACGAAAGAGAGAGGTACCCGTGTCGAAACCAGAAGAAAAGATGCCAAGAGAAAGAGAACAACTTTTGAAGCCATTGCTAGCAGCAAGCAAGGGAACCGAATCAAGAGNAGAACATCATATAGTTTTCGTCGAATATTTGAATCTTGAAGCACTAAAAGTATCTAGTAAGAAGTTACCTAGTTTAGGTTTTGGTGTGGGTATGGTAGGTGGAGGCGGCGGTAGAACCTCAACTGGTGGAGGTGGGGTTGTGGCCTTAATTGGTGGAGGCGGCGGTAGCACCTTGACTGGTGGAGGAGGTGGTGATACCATGATTGGTGAAGGAGGTGGTGTCTTGTAACTTAGACTTGCTGCATCCTATATATATCACAAGAATTTCATGAGCTTTAGACTTATAATGTTGAGTTCATAGGTATATTAGATATCCCATGTTTCATCTTCTTGCCTTAATTTTCCTAGGATATATAAAAGATCTATTTGGCCATTTCGTCTGATACACAGCAATAGAGATACGTGAAAATAAAGAACCGTTGTTAACTTTTCTCCATCATAGTGAAAATTTATTGCAACAAATGGACGCAGTGAATCACTATAAATCCGTGTGTTTGATTTGCGAGTTTTCTTCAAAAACTTTTATAGTGTAATTAGGACAATGTAGAGATTAGTTTGTGCAATTTGATTTGCAGGCAGTTTTAAGAAAAACATGGATGAAAAGGACTTAAATGTAGTCCTAATATTACCTCATGGAGTACTCCCTCATTCCATTGAGACGAAACCTACAAAATCAAGAAATAGTTGTTATCCAAGTGAAAAATCATGTCACGTCACTAAATTCGAGCGAAATAAGATCTTTTCATCAAGTATCCTTCATTAAAGAAAAACGACGAAAGAAAGAGGTACCCGTGTCAAAACCAGAAGAAAAGATGCCAAGAGAAAGAGAACAACTTTTGAAGCCATTGCTAGCAGTAAGCAAGGGAACCGAATCAAGAGGCCAAAACTACTCAGTAATGATTCAGATGTGGAAGTCTGGTATATATAGCACTATAAAGTCCCTTAAAATATTTACTTATAAGTAATAAATATTTTTTAATTGATAAAGGCTGGAAATAAATTATATGCCAGCTTAGACATAAATTATGGGTTTCTCTGCTGAATCAAGTTGCTCACATGCCACAGGCATTGTCTGTAAAAAAATAATATATCTCCGATCAAAAAAATAAAAAATAATATATCTATTTCATCAGATTGTGTGTGAAAAATAATTTATTAAGCGGCACATGACTCGTCTTTGAAACTTGTAAAAGGCCTTCCAAATCAGTCAATTAGGTGTGACGACACTTCAAATGCCTGGATTTTGATGTCTAGTACATACATGTAAGATAGATGGTAATAAAAAAAATTATAATTTTTTTTTTCTTTTGTTTGTCAAAACTAATCAAGTTGGGAGTTCAACACTCAATAGTATGAAAATTACATGTAGGTCTAATTCTCACGAACGTTCTCCCGAGCAAGATACCTATAGCTCCCTACAGATCGATGCATAGTATCTTGCAAGAACTATGGCTAGAACTAATGGAGCATTAATCCCGTTTGCCCTATTAGCTCTCGTCTGTGAATGACTATTGACGTTCTTTACTATCTCAACGCATTTTCTCCCACGTGTCTATATGAATGTACATGTGTGGTGCCAAAGATTTTGTCTACCTATTGTTCAATTTTGTTTGGTTGTGTAAAATTTAGAAGTGGGATTTCTCATAATAGAGGGATTGAGATTGGCACTGGCACCCTAGACAGAGTACTCTTGCAACTTGCAAGGATTGTAAATTATGATATAAACATTGGCACTGAGATTCTTCTTTCAAATTCATGTGATGTCACATGTCATTGGAACATTAGTCAAAGGTATACATATAATTTCAGTACAAATAATATAAATGCCATCAAAAGGTATTCTTGTCTTTTTATAATCTAAAACTTCTTTGGACTTTTCAAAAACTTCATTCTTCAAGATAATTAAATACGTTTGTATACTTTGAGAGAAGCAAAAAGCATCTACCATTTGAACAAAATCTAAGGTTAATATTTACATGAAAAACAAATTGAAATCATAAGAAAATATTGAGAAGATTCTATTTAACAATTGTCGATTCAATGACAATTAGACTGGATTTTGAGTCGACGATTGAGCAATAGAATTATCGAATATGCTCGACCTTTTCTTGGTTTCTCCCTTTTTCTGGCGCTCAAAATATTTTTGGGCATGACTTGCAACTTGTGTTGGAGTCCTTGTTCGAACTTCATGTCTTGATATACTCTTCCAATCTCCTTTGCCGTATTTTTCCAATCCCACTAAAAATAACCTATTGTACATAAAGGTAGAAGAGTCAAAACTATTACATTTAAACACAAGTTTCAATCGAGCCCAAATCCATTATTCAGTTGGTGGTTCTCCCAACATTTTTAATCATAATTTTCCTAGCAAACAAAAGTACGTCAAGATGTCAACAAATGCATTGTCGTGTTCTCATTTGCTAAAAAGAGTCGATATGTCGAATTCACATAGAAAGACAACTAATTGAACATCAAGTTCGAGATAAAAGATCTCAACTCATAGCGAGAACTAAGAAAGTGAGGTTTGAGAAAATTATTACAAGAATATCAAAAACAAAATTGGAATTAAATTTTAGGTCGCCTAAGATTAAAAAGCATGAGTATACAGTACCTGTGTTCCTCCTCAGTCCAGGGTTTCGCTACTCTTTTCTGCACCTTCTTCCCGGAATCCACCAAACAATCGGCTTCATCAGATTCCGCCGCAGTGTCGTCTGTATATATCGGCGGTGCAATTAACCCATCCTCGATTAATGCCAAATCATGCAACAAATCACCGTAATGTTCTTCAATTTCCATTGCCGATTTTCCCTCAAGTTTTGCAGTAATTTTAATTTTCTCCCATCGATTTGGAGTCCCGTCTGGAAATTGAACAAGATCAAACTCGAATCGCTTATTTTCTTCCCAACTCCAAGAAGAATCTGCCATAATTGCTTATTTTCTCTTCTTCACACGAGTTATATTGAAGATTTATCCCTCAAGTAATCGCTTTTAATATGCAGATATGTTGGGCGAAATGAAAGATTTTAAGGGTTTTTTTTTTTTGCTGATTTGCTCCGATTTACTAACACTAACTGCTGCAAACCAATTCGAATTCGGTTAATTGTTAAACATGGAATTGACGAACCTATTTCGGAAAGTGGAGTTAGGCTGTTAGGGATCTCAAATTGAATTTTAAGAGAATTTTCAATTTCAACCTCCAAATTTACAGACTAATAAATTGGGGTAATTTCATTTGAAGTCATCGACCTTACAAGTTTGTTTCACGTTGATCACAGAGCTTCAATTTGTTTCAATTTTACCATTCTACTTATGTTTATATTTCAATTTGAATAGCCGTTGCTAAAAATTGATGGAATTCGTAGATTGACGACGGACGTTTGTGATTTGACAAGCCCTTGTTTGAGTCCTTTTTTTTTTTTTCGGAAAAACGTGTTTTAAAATAATGAATTTTTTTTTGAGAATGATATTAAAAAATAGAGAAATGTTTTAGATTTACGTATAAAATTATTTCGTGTGTGGTTGAAAATAAATTTTAAAAAAATAAGTTTTGAAAAAATGTGGATCCAACATGGGCAGATATTTTTGAATAATGCTATCATCACAAATCTATGTGGTTATGTGATAGATTCAATTAAATGTAAAATTATGTGATTCATTTAACAACATTTAGTGACAAATAATATTATTTATATTTTTGATATAATATCAGTGGTGCTAAATAATATTATTTATATTTTTAACCATATAATCATTTTTGAATTGCCAAAAAAAATAAAAATAAAAATCCAAACTTCTTCTAGTTGATCTGATCTTGATTGATCCGATAATGTACCTAGTTTAGTTACTTTTTGAAAAAAAATATTAAAGTAACATCAACACAGTTCATAGTAACATTTAAGTTATCATTCACATATAAAATGTGGACACAACTCAAGACTTCAAAAATATTACATATTCGACAATGTCAATTGAAAATCATGTTTATTTGACACACACATGGATTGAGCACGAGAATTCCGATCTTTTCTTCATTTTACAATTATGCTTTGATTTTAGTTTGTATATTATTAGAGTGCGTTTGATTGCGAATATTTTTCATAGAAAATGTTTTTTTTTCTATTCAAATTCTTATTTTTGTGCTATTTGATTGAATTTTTTTCCCTACAAAACATTTTCCTATTTTTGATCACGTGACCATATTTTCCCCAATCACAAAAAATATTTTCTTTAGGCGAAGTAGGATTTTAATTTCCAAGGAAATCACTCTCTTTCTCTCTCTTATCTATCAACTCTCTTTCATTTACCCACCAATAAAAAATGGACAACTATAATATTTTCTAAATTGAAAACTAAATCAATCAAACGCGCTTAATTAATAATTTCTATACAAATATGTCATGGACAATTGAATTGTCTAAAATTTATTTTATTTCCATTCAAATTCCATACTCACTATTAAACGCACATTTAGTAAAGTTAAGAACTACATCCATAAATTACTGAACAAATCCCAGAAATATTAGTTTGTCAAGCATAAATCAAACCTTTTGAAAATGTGCGACAATATTCTATTAAAAAATGTGGGATTCAATGAACTTTAAGAAAAAAATTGTCTATTCGAGAAAAATTGAAAATGCTCGATTTTTTTCCTTTATTCTTTCCCTTCTTTTGATGTTCGAAATATTTTTGCGCACAAGTTGTGATTTAGATTGGAGTTATCGTGTAGACTGCATTTCTTGATACGATCTTCTAATCTCCTTCGTCAGACTCTTGCATAGCATAATTCATTTGGAAAATAATCACTTATTTCCCAAACAAAAATATTTGATCTTAAATAATTAGTAGAATTTTTTTTAGATAGACGGATTTATGTCAAAAACTAGTATGTTTTTAAGGTTTACTATATTAAGACAATAAAATTTTAGTAGTATCCTTTTTCTGTCTTGTTTTCTTGATATTTTCTGAATGGTTATGATTTAAATGAATTAAAATTGGAAAAATATGGACTGCCAAATTTTATGCTCCACCTATTAACTTAAATTTTGTAGAATATTTATAGCATATAAATGTTGATGTCTACTTGTAGCCTCTCTCTTATTTTCCTTTGTACTGTATTTGGAAATTAAATTTCTAAAAATTGCACTATTCGCCACTAATCTATTAATTAGATGCAATTTTGCCTCCAATCTTTTGTTTTAGCTATAGAGAAATTGATCGTCGTTGTCAATAGCTGATACGGTGCTGCTCAATGCCACTTCCTCAGCTAGAGTTCAAGACCCTGGGAATGAGAAGCTAATTTCTACATGTTAATGAATCGGACACGGACCTCTTGAATGAATGAATTGACGAGTTCCAAAGAATATAGACTTTTTAGGGTAAGAAATTGAACTTTTCGTTAGACCTATCACCTAGTAGCGTCTTCGGTCCCCAATAGCAAATTTTGTTCATTTTAATTGTTAAAAATGTGCTTTTAACAAAAAGGTGTTAAACAATTTAATTTTGTTGAAAAGACCAAACATACACACTAATTTTTATAATCAAATAAAAATTTAAAAGAAGAGAGAGAGGCCATTATTCACCGTGATGGCGGCTTGTTGAATCATGAATAATCTGAATTGGTCAGAAATTATTCAAATGAAGTCGTAATTCTTCATGTTTGCTACAATTTTCCATTATTTTTTTTTTATTTTTGAACCTATATAGTCTTTTTTTGTCTCTTAGCCTCTTTTTGGGCACCCTTCTTCCAAAATTATAATTAAGAATTCGATTGTTGTAGAGTCAATGGGCCCCACTATGACGGCCATGTTTGACTGATTTATCTGCAGTCAATTAAAAATTTTGACGGAAAGATCAGGGTGCCCCTAACTTGTTGCATTCAATATTCTTAAGTTTTCATTTCTTACATGGAACTAACCTTATGATAATAATCTCTACGTATTAATACTTTTTGCGAAAAACATTCATACTTTTCAAACTATTGGGAGCGAAAAATCCCTACCTTTCAAACTACTTGGCGAAAAAAGGTCCCTACTTTTGTAACTCATTGTGAAAAAAACCCCTTTTTTGTATGCAATCTATTTATATACAACAACTTAAACTCCCAAAAACCAATTTCATCACAGCAGCTTAGACATAATTCAAATAACAATTCAGAGAGCAATTAACCAAAATTTGAACAAAAAAACCTCAACAGAATATGATCCAGTTACCTTTTCTAAACACTTGATCCTGAATATTTGTCACCACGTTGAAAGCGTGAATAGAAGCCCTGCTTCTTGAAATTGTATCGCTCTCCTCTTCATTATGAATGCTCTGTAAATCATCAGAATTCCCATAGTCGGTATCTGAATCCCTTACATGTTGCTCATCTAATACACCAAATCCAAAATCAAAATTAACCATTTGACTCCTAACTTCAAAAAAAGCTACAGGTTCCTACTCCATTTCATAATCGAATTACAACGTTTATATTTTTTTATTAAAATGTGGAATTAAGGCCCCAAACAGGCGCTTAGTGAGAAATATTGTGAAAACGTCCCTACTTTATATTATTATGTAAAACATCCGCACCTTTCATTTTTTTACATTTTCACCATTATTTTCACATTTTTTTCACCATTATTTTCACATTTTATTGCCAAAATAGTTCTTCCATCCACTTACCGTCAGTTGCTCCATTAATTCAGTACAAAAAGTCAACTTTCCTTTCAAACACTAAGGGTAAAATAATCTCAGCCCATTTATCCCCTTCTTCTTGTCTTCAAAATAGTTATTCCATGGGTAACACTAACGTAAATATGAAAGTAATGTATAAAATTATTACATTAAATAAAGGAAAAAATGGCATAAAGAACATTGTATTTTACAACAATGGCTACAGTAATTGTGGATTACTGATAAAATTTAGAATGGTAGATAAAGATATATATTTAATAGGTGGTCGATGAACTGGCGATGTTCATTTCCATTTTGTTCTTATCAAGGGTGTAACTAAGGGGCAAATTGAGAAGAACAATTGTAAATTTGATGATGTAAAGTACGTATCAAATTTCAATGGTGAATGACCCATTGGCTCAACGGTGAAGATGAACTGGTCCTTTTCATTTCTTACATGGAACTAACCTTATGATAATAATCTCTACGTATTAATACTTTTTGCGAAAAACATTCATACTTTTCAAACTATTGGGAGCGAAAAATCCCAACCTTTCAAACTACTTGGCGAAAAAAGGTCCCTACCTTTGTAACTCATTGTGAAAAAAACCCCTTTTTTGTATGCAATCTATTTATATACAACAACTTAAACTCCCAAAAACCAATTTCATCACAGGAGCTTAGACATAATTCAAATAACAATTCAGAGAGCAATTAACCAAAATTGAAATTGTATCGCTCTCCTCTTCATTATGAATGCTCTGTAATTCATCAGAATTCCCATAGTCGGTATCTGAATCCCTTACATGTTGCTCATCTAATACACCAAATCCAAAATCAAAATTAACCATTTGACTCCTAACTTCAAAAAAAGCTATAGGCTCCTACTCCATTTCATAATCGAATT